TTCCAATATAATGGCAAGTTTGTTTTGCTTTTTCCTTTAAGGCCAGAATTTTTAAAGTTAGGTATCACATTGCTATTTATGCAGCTAATTAAATTGCATGGATTTTTAAAGATATTCGGAGGATCTGTTACTTCCATTTAATAGGCATCTGTGATGCACAGTATCACAGAAAATGTTGCATATTCTTTAGATGCCCAAATATGAACTTAACTTTTAGATTTGCAAGTTTTGTCCTAGAACTATAGGAAAATGTATTTGAATAACTATTTTCAAGATCACTGTAAGACAGTTCTATACTATTGCAGTACTGAATATTAAATATTCATAAAGTAAAATATTTCTAGTTTTCCTAAATGCTCTACAGGCCCAACAAAAGCACTAAGAAATTCAAAATGAGCAGGCAAAAAGCTTAGAGTGGTATAGTTCTGTTGGGATTTTCACTGCTGTTCCTGGTAGGGTACCAGATGTGTCAGCTCCTAAAAACTGTTGTTTTGTTTCATTATTATTTTAATTGTGGTCACAGTTGGGGATCAGGATCTTGTGGTGGTAGGCAATACAAGGGCAATTCCTTCCTTAAAGATACAAGGTGATATTCCATCCATGTTAAAGTTAATGCTAAAACTCACAATTATTGATTACCTTAGGACCAGCATTTTGCCTACAGTTTTTATGATGCTAGAGAGAACCAGCCTCAGGATTGTTTGCTGGACATTGTGTGGCAACTTCTCTTACCAGCAGTATTATTTTTTTAATTATTTCTTTTTGCTTTCTACATTCCAGTGCCAAATACAACAGAACCTGACTACAAATCCAAAGACTGGGTTTTCCTCAATTATACCTACAAGAGGTTTGAAGGGCTTACCCAGCGTGGCTCTATCCCTTCCTATATGAAAGCTGGGAAGTTGTGAAACAAAACAAAACTCCACAAAATTAGAAACAAAAACAACCAAAAAACTCAGGTAGCTGCATCACCAGGCCTGCTTGGCGCAGATATCAATACAGTGACTCTGGTGTGCATCGACTTCACAAGGAAATTCTACAGGATTAGGATTTCTAAGACTACTACAGGAATTAGTTGGCAGTGCCAGCTGGGTTTTTTTTTTTTAATATTTGAATATTTTTGTTAACTTTATTATACAAAGGTACTGGAATAAAAGGATCATACATCCCTTTGTAACTGCACTGCCTGTGTGTGTATAAAGGTTAATTATGCCTCTGTGTACTGTGGCTTTGTTTGTACTGTAAGCCATCTAATCCACGCAGGAGGAAAAACATATCATTTGAAAATGCAACATGGGCTAATGTTGCAGCACCATTATTTTACTGCTAACCTGGTGGATTTTAGATCTACAGTATTAAAAACCATCAAATACATTTGTAAAGATCGCCTTTGAGTGATTGTCCACATGGATTGCTCTCCTAGTATGACATTGAACTCTTTAGTGGTGTGCCTTCAGTCATTCCTCATCTCTTTTCTGCTGTCTTTCTGCCATGGGCAGAACCCCTGCTGGATTGGCTTTGTCTGTGCTCTGTGCAATTTCTAATTTGTATTTAGTTATTATGAGTAGTTTACTAGTATAGGAGGTACTGGAGCCTCCTATAGGAGGGTGGAATCTAAGACACCAGAATTCAAATCCTAAGTCTTCTGTGGGGCAAATATTCTTCTGAATAGTGGAGGCTGTAAGTGCCTTTTCTGCCTCGTTGAAGCACATATTCCAGGCAAGTGTTCCGTACCTTGCTTTTTTGTCATCTCATTTAAAAAAAAGTGAGGGAATCTCACCTTTAAACTTTTCCTCTTGGAACGCTCCATGAGGGCTTCCTCTGTCCCCGAGGAAGATAAAACCGTTAAACTAGATCAGATTGTCTCTGACTGCTTTGAGGAGCCACAGGTCTAGCCTGTGGTCCAAGCCTTCCTCTCCCTTGCGAAAGACACGTTCTTTGATTAAGGAAGAGCATCTAAACTCTACTCTGCCCTAATGCTGGAGAAAGGGGGAAGGAAAGAACACCTTTCTCAGGGTGACCACAGACTTGGGGTCTTCCCTGGGAGCGGCTAAATTAAACAAATCCCACTATTTATGTATTCTAGCTCATGCTTCTTAGCCAGGACACAGCTCAAGGCCCAGATCAGGTCTTACTGACCTCTCAAGGTCCCTTCCAATCCTAGTATTCTATACTGATACCGTGGCACCAGCTGGTCACTATATAACCAAAGTACTGTCCAAGGATCCTATCCATACTCCTACTAGTACAGTAGCACATTGGTATCAAAGCACTTGGTACCCTCATCTACGATATCCAACACTCAGATGTGGAGGTGAGCTTTCTAGTGCAGACCTTCTCAGGATTGAAGTGCTTGATAATCCAGAGTAATTTAACAGTCAACAAACAACTAGAGTCACCACTGAGGAAGAGAGCAAAGAAGCTTCTAGCTTCGATACCAACGGAAGATATTTCAGAGTTCCCTGGAACACCTGAGAGGGTAGCTTCACCTGTGTAAAGCAAACAAACCCTTCTCTTCCTGTGCAGAGGATGCATACCTGCAATAGGACAGGGTCCATTTTATACTTAACCTTGTTAATCAATTTCTATAGCTCCATCTGCAGATGACAGCCCCATCGACTTCTGCAGCTTCTCTATGGCTGTGTCCAGACTCAGGGGTTTTTTCGGGAAAAGTAGCCTTTTTCCGAAAAAACTTCACCTGCGTCTAGACTGCAGCCGCGTTCTTTCGAAATTAAATCGAAAACGCGGCTTTTCTTTCGACGGCGGTAAACCTCATTTCACGAGGAAGAACGCCTTCTTTCGAAAGTGCTTCTTTCGAAAGGAGTTCTTGAATGTAAATAGGGCTTCTTCGAAAGAGAGCATCCAGACTCACTGGGTGCTTTCTTTCGAAAAAGCGGCTTGCTCTTTCGAAAGTTCCGCGTGCAGTCTAGACGCTCTCTTTCGAAAGAGGCTTGCAGTCTAGACATAGCCTATGTGGCATTCTCTTTCATCTAGTGCTACTCCTTAATAGAGAGCTCTAGAGCTGATGTGCACTTTGGCAGAGCTGTCCTGCAACCACTGTTTAAACCAGAGTACAAGTAGAGCTCCTGACTATGAGGTCACTGTTTGTGAGTCACCAGAAGTGGCATATATGTGGACAATCATTTGAACAAGGTTACTTGCCTTACTGTAACTGTGATTCCTCAAGATGTGTTCTACAGCATGATCACTTCCCTGAGGGATGGTTGGGCCTACTCTGGCTTTCATGCCATCAAAACATCGGGGGCACAGATGGGGCCTCAGCAAACACTGCTGTTCAAAAGAATCTAATTTCACACTTATGAAGTGTGTGCACACCAGAACTGAAATCCTTGTGGGCCGCACACCTTAAAGAATCACAATTAGTATAAAGTAAGTGACCATTCTTTATCAAAAACTTGCCCTGTGTGATTGAACTTGTCAACATATATGAAGGTAATTTTATTAAGGAGATTTCGTGGAAATAGTAAACACTCAAAATTGGTTATTTGTGTGTATGAGGGTGAAATATATACATTTAACTTGAAGCTATCTACTACACTGACTTTTCTGTACATAATAATTGGTTTATCACTAAGGAAAAAGCTATACCCTCCTAGTCATAACACTAAAGATAATTTGCATAGAATACTGCAAATGGTTACTCAAATAAATGCTCACATAGGAGTTACACTCTTAGGGAGACTTACTGCAATATCATTAACATAATAATCTCCTGTATTGTGATAGGTGATTTTTTTCTGAAAAAAATGGCATTATTTTAATCTAATCAGCAAGTCAAATTAAAGAAAATATAAGAATACTGCTTTTAGAATTGTAGTGAGAATACTTTTTAAAGGCAAAACTATGACACTGTAATGATCTAAAGACAACAGAAGGCTTTCCAAAAACAAGGAAGTGCAACGTGTCTTTTTGCTTGATAATTTTTTGCTTTTGACCATGTTTGTCATTATGCCATTTTCTTTCTTATTCTCAGAGTACCAAAGATCCTGAAATGGCTTGATGATTGCAATCATGTGAAGTTTTGATTTCCATATGTATGTTTTGTTAACTTTTATTAAGTATGGAATAGGGTGTGCTATCCACAAAAGGTTTTTCTGGGCAGGTAACCTGTTCCAGCAGGAGAAAATGTTAAATCATTAGTTGCATAGAAGTGAGCCTGAACCACAATCATGGATCTAATGACTCTCCAAACTGAGGAGGAAGTTTGGATTGAAATACAGCTTTTGGACTTGGATCAATCCATCTCTAATCAGCATGGGTTAATGAATTGAGGTATAGGCAGTAAATAAATGATGGTCAGGGGGATTATTATGTGTGTGCAAGAAGTAGTTAAAATGACAAAGTAATGTTGCCAGCATTCAGAATTGAATATTGTTGAAACTGCATTTGCACTGTTAATTTGCCTTGCTGAAGAGTTAGGTAAATTTTATTTTTATAGGTCAATTATTAATAACCTAAGTCATTGGATACAGTGTGAGGGTAATTACAAGCATTGTAACATACTGTACCTGGAGTCCTTTTAATGTTGTTCATATTACACAAGCTCATTCTCTGAGTCTAAATGGCAACTGCTATATTTTTTTCTGGACTGTTGCATTAGTTGTGATTGGGAAAGTTATATAGAAGCATTATAAAAGATTTATATGAGGCTTTTTATAGTATTTGAAAATAAACATAGCATTCTTTTGTAAAAGTTGGAGTATTTTTTTAAACCCAGTTCATAAATGGCATTTTAAAGGAATGTTTTGTTTCCCTTTCCAAATGTGTAAACAAAGGACTTTTGAGACATTTGAAGACTTTCAGTGTTGGATTTGCCCATCATGAATTCCATCACATACCAGTCTTCAGTCAAAACAATTAGCCATGCTGCTGTTGCTATCATTACATAGACAGCAACCATATGTTTTTTAAAAGATTTGTTGTTATTTATAATAGTTTCCCAAACGTATTCCTATGTGGATCACATTTAAGTAAACTGGAGTTTCTCATGGAGAACTTGCTCCACCTGTTTGTTAAAGGAAGATCCACTTCCCTTCCTCAGGCACATCTAATCACTGTGATAACTCTGGCACATGGTTTTACATGTAATATCTTCTACAGGATGAGCTTTTTTTAGGTGAAAGGGACAAGTTTTTGAGCTCACAGAGCAATTCTTCAGGCCCTGAAGCTTGAAAGCTTCTCTTCCCCCAACAGAAGAGGAGTAAGGGAAGTCAAAGGAATAGTGTTCTTCTTTCAACTTCCTGCTGTGTAGACAGCTCCAAAAGCCCAGTAAAGCTATTTCTACTTAAGCTATGCAACTTCAGCTATGTCAATTGCATAGCTTAATTCAACTTTAACCCTGCTGTGTAGACATACCCATACTGGCCTCTGTAAGATGAGCTAAGATTTCCCAAGCATTTCAACCAAAACACACTTTCTTAGGTAAAATATAATACAGATTTATTAACTACAGAGAGAGAGATTTCAAATGATTGAAAAGTAGCAAACAGATCTCAATTGGCTAAGAAAAATGAATTTTACAGTCTGAATTCTGCAAAGAGGATGTGAATCAAGCTGTCTCACCCTGACAGGTGATACAAACAGGTCACAAATATTTGATCCAGAGGCTCAGACTGTTTCCTGGCTAGGGACCACTCTCCCCCAGTTCAAAGTGCTTGATCCTCCAGACTTGTGTCCTCCTGCTGGTGAGTTGGGAGCGGGAAAGGCCAAGAGATGATGCCACTTCTTTTATAATTTCTTCCAACCTTTCTTCCAGAAAGATCTTATGAAGTGGTGTCAAGCAATCCCCATTGGTGAAACAGTCCCCATGGTTTTGCTCCCTGTGAGAAGTCATCTGGGATAAACCTTAGGGAAAGTGGATTCTCTTTACTGGGCTATCATCCTGTCTGTCTCCTATGCCTTTGTTGTACCTGAAACGAAGTTGTGCGTGTTCCCAACCCAGGGCTGTCCTTAGGATTTATGGTGCCCTAGGCAGGATTATTAAACTGGTGCCCCTATGCCTGACTTACTCTTCCACCCCTACTCCCTCCCCTTCCCAGAGACCCCAGCAGCCAATCCCTTCAGACTTTGCTGCAGGTATTGCATTAGGCTCTCTCTAGGACCCAGCCCTGCTGTTACATGCTCCACTGCTTCTCCTCATAGGCATGTGCAGCACATTTCATTAGGGTGTGCACCCAAAGATTTTTTTTTTAATGCACTTTGACCCCCCCCCATTAGCCACATCCCTGACCCCTGTTAGCCACGCCCCTGGAGGTAACCCTCTCCGGGCAAGATGGGCACATGACCAAAAGTAAAAAGTGTATGTGACCCCCCTCCTCTGGTGCTGTCCCCTGCAGGTGTCTGCCCATCTGCTTCACCAGCAGAATCCCCTGGCACCTCTACCTTCCCTCCTGGCGCCTCCCCCTTCCCTCACTGCCCCTGCCCCCTTTTCCCTCTTTCTCTGATACCTACCCCCTCACCACCCTCTGCCCCCGTTCCCCTGGCTCCGCCCGTCTGCTGCTGCCCAGTTGACAGTTTCCTTTCCCCCGGCCCGGTACCTTCTCCAGCCAGGGTCAGCTTGCCGACCTCCTCGCCGAAGTCCTTCGGCCCAGCAGAGTGGTGCTCCAGAAAGAGGTGCCCTACGCAACTGTGTACTCTGCGTATGCCTAAGGATGGCCTTGTCCCAACCTCACATGTATCAGAAACACACACATGGTAAAACTCCTTAGCTTCATGTACAAGGACAGCACATACAATCCAATAGGTTATTAATGCTCAGCTGATTAAGACTTTTAAAATACCTGACAGTCACAAGGCATAGGTCGTACAGAACATATTGCAATTGTAGGACAGTGGTGAATATGGGGATTCCAGGACTGAATGGAGGCACAGAGTGTCCGAGGCACCTAGTTCTGCTTGCAGATCTTAACCAGGAGCCCCTCTTTGGAGTTAGGCACTTCTGCAAGAAGCATGGAGTTGAGGCAGGCAGGACCTCCCTCTAAACATTTGACCCAGAGTACTCACCTAGGGCTCAACCCCCTGGTTCAAGCGTGTCTAAACCTGAGCGGGAGAAGCATTTTGAATTGGGATGTGTCAGCTCTTAGGTGAGTGCCCTCACTGGTGACAGGACAGTCTGATGTGTGGTGCCCCTCAGACTCTCCTCTTGAAGCTGTTGCATTGCCAAACAGAATCATTGGAGCAGAGCAACAGGATCTTGGGTCTTCCATCTCGTGTGCGAGTGCTTTAGCCACCCACCTTTTGTCTCTTCACATGCTTCTGCTTTCTTCAATGACTTCCCAGGGTAACTAGGACTAGGGATCTCCCACACAGCCAGGTAAGTACTGTAACCAGTGGTCTAAAAGTTATGAGCAGCAACCCCTCTTCCTTCCCTGCCCCGGGCTGTTTTCTGGAGCTTTGAAAATCTAAAGTATGTTGTTGTTAATGTGTACAAAGTATATTTCAGTAAACTGTCTGGAAGGCTTTCTTCAATATGAACGAATAAATGCTGAAGGAAGAATATACTTTTGAAAGTGTCCATATTTAAATGTAATTATAATCTGGCAGCTAAATAAGGAAGTCCACTTTAGGATTGCTAACATACCTTAGTGATTTTAGTGTCGCCCCCCCCACCCCCAAACCCTTTAATCTTAAAAGAATTGGGCATCCAAATCCCTTAAGTAGCTTTGAAAATCTTAACCTGTGTTGTTCACGGCATAAAATACAGTATTTCAGTAAATCTTCTACAAGAGTTTTTCTAATCCATTTGTACCAAGCGATGAAGGAATAATATACTTTGCACTTCTGTACTTCTCAAAGCCCATTACAGGTGGGTAAGAACTATTAGTCCTACGCTTGCTGTATATTAAATGTTCACTTTAAAATGAGAGATGTTCATTTAGTTCTGGCAGCTGAAAAGCAACAGTAAGTGGGTATTTTCTGGGATTCATTTTTGCTTGATCTATGAAAGATAGGACAGTTACACAATACTTTAATACCCACAGAAAGTGTACTTATTTTTTTAAAAAGTCACATGGGATACATGATAAAATATCCTATTCTCATTTAAACTGAGCAAATTAGAAGCCAGTTGCTAGTTTTTCCTTAATCTAGCTCAGGGCTTCAGAGCTTGCATCTTAAAGATGCAAACGTTATGCATCTTCCCTCATCCCCCATACTGACTTAATTTCCCTGATGCTCCACTGGCACTTGCACCACGATGGAAAAACATCCCATTCTGTTCATGTACTCTGTGGCATGATGGGATGTGAGGACCTCCTTAGTATTTATGGGACCCTACACAGTACTATTAAACTGGTGCCAACAGCAGCCTGGGTTGACAATGTTTTAGAGATGTGATTTTATAATCTTTAGCAACACACTAATGCGGGAGTTATAAAGTAAATTTTAAACTATGATCCTGTAGTGAAGACCAGTGGTTCCCAACTTTTTTCACAAAACTTTTGGCAGACTGCTAACATTTTATTTGCATATTCATTATGCAAATAATGAACATGCAAATACAATTTTACCAGTCCACCAAAAGCCCTAGCCCTGAGTCACCGCGAATAGCTGGCTTCACATCTAGCAGTCGCCATGTAGTGGACAGCTGCCGCAGAGCTGAAGCCAGCTCTTCATGGTGGCTCAGGGGGCTGGGATATACCCCAGCCCTCTGAGATCCCCCAGTGCTAGCCCTAACTCCTAGAGCCCCCCACCTCTTCTCTACCCCCCCAGCACCAGCCCTGCACGCAACCCCCCCAGTGCCAGCCCCCTGCCCCTTAGAGACCTCCCAACACCAGATGTCCAGTACCAGGCTCCTGTTTCCAGTTGGGAGTCCCACTGTACCCAATACCTCCAGAGCTTCCCCCAGTGCCATCTCCCAAAATTAGTCCCATCCCTCGAGCCTCCCAGTGCCAGCCCTGCCCCCTGAACCCATCCCAAGCCCTGCCCGCACAGCCCCCCAGTGCCAGCTCCCCACCCTGGATGCCCTACTGCTTCCCAGTATCAGCCCCCTGCTTTGGAGCCCCCCCACCCTTTAGAGCTCCCCAGTACTAGCCCCACTCCCAGAGCCCTAGTATTAGCTTTGCCTCTAGAGCCTCCCCAGTGCCAGTCCCCTACGTCTTAGAGCCCCCCACCTCCAGAGCCCCACCTGGCGCCCCCAGTGCCTGCCCCACCCAGTCCTTTCTGCCTCCCACCTGCCAGCTGAGTGCTGTTGCCCGGGTCACGACTGTTCTAAGGCTCCCATGCTGGGCTCCGCATGGCCCTCCTGCTGCACAGTGAACCACTCTTCTACATCTGGAAGGAGACCCCACCTTGCCTGGCACTGGTTGGCTGAGAGATGAGGCAGGACACGCCTCTCTGAACAGCTGTGGTGGGAAGGGAGGTGCTGGGCAGTGTACCCCAACCCCAGCAGCCAGTGGTTCGTGGCCTGGCACCGGTCCACAGCCCAGCAGTTGGGAACTGCTGGTATAGACTAATACAGTAAATTCTGAAACTGACAGTATATACCTGGGGCTGGCAAATGCCTGTTAAATGGCTTCATTACCATTTGAATGGCTCTTTCACAGATCCCATTTGTGCTAATAGGTCAGGCAGGCATTTTAACTAGATCCTCTCCAGAGAAAACAGAGCCACCTACCAGGGATAGGAAGAGCGAGTGAGTAGACATTAAGGGCACATCTACACAGCAGGGCAACATTCCAATTAAGCTACGTAATTTCAGCTACATCAATTGCATAGGCTAGTCAAAATGGCTTAATTCGGCTTTTGGCACTGCCTACACAGTAGGAAATCGAAGGAAGAGTACTCTTCCTTACTCATTGTGAAATGAGGGTTGCTATGATTCAGAGTAAGAAGTCCTCCAGCTTGACGTTATTTCAAAATATTATAAATGTCAGTTATTCCAAAATAATGTTGCTGTGTAGACATAGCCTAAGATTGTAAATTAGAATTACCAGTTGGTAATTGCCAGGATCATCTAGAGGTGATTCTGGCAATTACGGGCAAGTATGTCTAATTTCAGTAGTGGTTGAAACTATAGTAAAGAACAGAATTGTCAGACAAATAGATGAACGCAATTTGTTGTGGAAAAGTCAACATGGTTTCTATAAAAGGAAATCATGCCTCACTAATTTGAAGGGGATAACAAGCATGTGAACAAGGGGGATCCAGTGAAGAGTTCCAGAAAGCCTTTGACAAGCTCCCTCACCAAAAGTAAGCTGTCATGGGAAAAGGGGGAAGGCCCTCTCATGGACTGATAACTGGTTAAAAGTTAGGAAACAAAGGATAGGAATAAATGGTCAGTTTTCACAATGGAGAGAGGTAACTAATGATGTCCCACAGGGGTCCCTACAGGGATCAGTCTTATTCTCCAGATCATTTATGAATATGTTGAACAGGAATGTAAAATCCTGATTAATCAGTTAACTGGTTAAATGTTCATTTGACCTAACGTTTAACATGTTGACTAAGCAGGATCCTAGCCCCCAGGGTATGGCTACTGGGGCTGGCTGCTGGCAGGTAGCCTCACACAGGGGCTCCACACACGGGCCCAGCCCAGCTAGAGCAGCCCTCTGTCTGTGGCAGCCCATGGGCAGGAGGCTGCTTCAGGGGAACTGGTTAATCATTAACCAGTAAGCAGTGCAGGTGGGGGCAGCAGGCAAGATGCCAGAGCAGATCCTGTGTGGCCTAGGAGATAGGGCACTTGCCTGGGGAGGACAGGGTTGTGGGTTCAAGTCCTGCCTTTGCCCCAGTCGGGATGGTCAAAACTGGTCAGCCCCCAAACAGGTGGGATAAGTACTTTGATCACCAGAGATAAAAGATATTATGAAAGAGCGAGATACTCCAGCAATGAAGATAAACAAGCAATAATTGTGATGGAACATGAAGTATTAGCAGCCCAAGATTCCAACGTAAAATTTAGCAAATGGCTTTCCTTCCATACCAAACTTTCAAAACAGTTTTCTTAAAAGGGAGTGTTAAAAAGGATGAAATGGAAGCAGAGGGATAGGGCAAGAATTTGGTTTCAGAGTGTGGTTCCAGGGTACCAAAAGGCTACTCTTAGTTACATTAGGGATGCAAACGTTTAACTGGAGCAACTCCCCACCTGCTAGAGGGAGCCCTGGTCCGCTGCAGGCAGAGGCTGCTCCAGCATCCCACAGAGCAATCACTATTCACAGCAGGCCTGGGTGCCTTGCCAATAGGGGCTGCTCCAATTGGGGTGCTGGGGCAGCCCCTGCCCGGCACCCTAGCCCACTGCAGACAGGGGCTGCTACAGCTTCTGCCTGCAGCAGCTGGTGGGGGACGCTCTAGCCCCCTCTCTTCTCCCTTTAATTTGTTAGCCAATTAAACAGGATTTTACATCCTAAGTTACACAGCAAATAGAGGCATAGGTGTTTTCTTCCACGTGACACTACTTTCCAGGATTATCTGACTGAAAAGCTACAGTGAGAGCCCTTTGTAGAGTGTGTAATTTTCTTTAATTTAGAAAGGTGCCTTTTAAAAGAGCCAGGTGTAGTCTCTTGATTGTGACTGAACAAGTAGAAAGGAAAGGCCTCACCACCAGAACTGCCACCAGCTGTGAGGTGCTTATGAAGTGTCATCAACATTCTAACCCCTTCAGTCCTCTATTGTTTAAGACTATCCTTTGAAACAAATGCCTTTTCAGATAAATATCTCTTTGTTCATTTATTCCTGCAGTAACAAGTTTGTAATGGACAGCTTTTGTCTGGATCCCGGCATACTTTCATTTTCCATTGTACCAGACAAACAACTAGCCTGCACTCATCCACATGTGTGAGACCTCAGCTTCCTGTAGGTTAATAGTCACTTGAGAGAGTACTTATGTAAGTAATTTCTCCTGCTTTAGCTCAAAGTAGATACGCCTTTTCTGTTTTTCACATTTCCCTTTTCACTTTGTAAATCAAGGTAGTGGAATATTTCCCCCTGTATTTTAAATGTGATGTTGTTTTGCCTTTGTAATGTGTCCAACTCCTAATAAGCCAATTGTGCTCTATTTAAATGCCATGGCTTTCTCTGTGGACAATAGCAAGAAAAATAAAATATAATGGAACCTTATTTATAAATAACATCCAGCCCCCTTCATTTTGGATTTGGTTTCCAGCCTGCTCTGGCTACACCTGATTGCCCACTCTGGGCTTATCTATGCTAGAGTGTTGAAAGAGGATATGTAAATTCCCATGGAATTTGCATATGAATTTGCATATCCGCTAGAGTGTCGAAAGAGGATCTCACTTTTGAAAGTGAAAGTAGTTTAGATGCGGCTTTTTCGGCAAAACCCCTTTTTTCGAAAAGCCGCATAAACCTCATTTTTTGAAAGCTCTGTTTTCAAAAGTGAGATCAGAAGATCTTTCAACACTCTAGCGTAGTCTAGATAAGCCTTCTCTGAAATTCTGCTGCCTTGGAATGTTTCAGCCCTTAAAAGTGCACAAGTTGTTTCAGTTCCAAAAGCTCCCTACACATACATTTTAGCAGCTGAAGTACAGTGATGCAGTGAAGACACTGGACTGATACTGGTGTTATCTGGATTTTTAATTCCTGGTTTTGCCAGTCTACCAATATAACCTTTGGCAAATCACTTAATCTCTCTGTGATTCACCTCCCCATGCTTTTTTTCTCCTCTGTTTTGTTAGTCTTGTTCATACAAGTTACTCTTTAAACTGAGTAACTCTGCCTCAGCAGATAGGGTGTATTAGATGACCTCTTAAGGTCCTTTCGAGTCTTACATGTCTATGGTGTCATTCTCCCATTATTATGTGTACGTACGGCACTCAGCACAACAGGTCTCAATGTCAGTTTGTGCACCTATGTGCTAGTGCAATATAACTGAAAAGTGATAATTAATAATTGAAAGGCTCTGTCCAAAAGAAAAGATTTTAAATTGTCTGAGGGAATTAATTATTCTCATTTTTATTTGTAAAGGGAAAAGTCTGAGTTCTTAAGAATATAAGATTGACAATTATAGTTACTTATCTTTTTGTTTTATATTTAACTCATACAATTAATTAGTGGTATATGATAGTTACATGGAAGACTATTAAATTAGTTGCCATGTACTATTTAATGCTTTCACATAAGGCTGAAGTTGTGGAAAGATACGATTGCTACAGAAAACTTCATAATGTTAATGTGAATGTAACTTTTGGAACAACACTTGATGCTTGCAGTGTGCCTGAAGCAAAACACATTTGTAAGTGACTGATAAGTCTTTACAATGAATGAAAGAAATTTAGCTACTTTTTAAAAATTCTGGATAGTGCTTGCCAGTTTTTACACATCCATGCTGGATGAAATAAAATATTTTATGAATCCACACAGCAGATATTGACAAAATGTGCACAACCCACACTAGGACTGGGACCCATACAAGGCCGTATTCACCACTTACATCTCGGTTTGACTGCTTAGGGTCCAAATCTGTATATAAGTATGCATATGAATGTTTGGAGGATTGAGCCTTAATGTAGAGCTTAAATTTTCCAGGGAACCCTACTCTCACTTCATGACAGAGTACAGAGTCTGAGGCTTTGTTGCCAAAAACTGCCTTTTGTCAACAAAACAGTGAGCATTTACACTGCAATGCGACTTTTATTAAGAAAAACACCCACTTGGAGACAAAAAACTTCCAGCCCTGCTACAGACTTCCCCCCCCTTTCTTTGTTGTTGACAAAGAGCCAGTGTGCATACTGCTGTTTGCTTTAGTAAGAGAACTGGCTTTTACCAGTATCTCACAAAGCCTGTATTGATGGCTGTGCTTAGTGTTTTGTGATCTCTGCTGCCCTACAGGCATGTACCCCTACACTTTCAAAGCTTCTGGAAGCATCCGACAGCTGAGTGAGCTGCTCTGTTTAGAGAACAAACAAAGAACAAATCATTGGAATGCTGCTGTTCTGCCCTGGTAGGAACACTGCAGCAGGCAAGCTGCTGCTTGCAGCAATGGGAGGGCCGAGGAGGGAGGAGGCTGGAGAGACAGGTGTACTGCTTTGACATTCCTCAGCACCAAAAGCTCACAGAGCTAAGACAGAATTGCAAGAAGTGCAGGGATCAGCTCTGTCTTCCCACCACTCTGCACTGTGGGATGCTTATCCACTTTGCTTTGCTCTGCTCTATCTCAGGGGTGGCCAACGGGCAGCTCTCGACCTGCATGCAGCTCTTTGGTTAAAGAAATGTGGCTCTTGTTCTGAGCTGTGTGCCCAGACTGCTCACAGCTGGCTGCTCTGCGCACGCGCCTAGAGAGAGAAGCATGTGGCGGTTCCAGGACCCAGGCACTGGGTTAGAGCTGGGAGGGGCGGGGCTGGCTGTAGGGGAGGAGGGGATTGGGTTAGAATGGGGGGCTGAGGGTGCCTGGCTCTGTGGGAAAGAAGGGGTAATGAGTTAGAATGAGGGGGCTGAATCACCTTAAACTCAAAAGTCTTCATGGATGCAGAATAAGGCAGCCAACACAGATGTCATATTTAAAGTCCACGGCAAAAAAAATTAAAAATGAGGAAACCATACCAGAGATCAACAAGCTGGAGTGAAACAGGCACTTCAAATTGTGCTAATTTACTTCTCAATTCAGTTTAATTGTTTAAAAAAACCACACACGCATCACAGGAGATAATAGTGCACTAATGTTAAATTTAAAATATAAGATGGGGATGCTTTTTTTTTTAAAAAAGTGTGAGAATGTTAATGTATTTTTAAAGGTTTTTTTTCCCCTCAATTTGATGTTTGTTCCTTGCCCAGTTCTCTGAAGATCTACGGACTGGCCGTGAATTTTTTAAGTGACTAGAGACTTTTTAATTGGTTTTTATTTGAAGTGTCCTCTAATGTTATTTTTATCACTACATTTTGTGTACTATATCTATCTATACACAGATATATAAAAATAAATATATAACATGTGGCTCATTGCACTATATCCACAGCTATTTTGGCTCTTCGTTTGTAACTGGAGGGCCACCCCCATTCTATCTATTGACAGGGTGCTCACAATGTGGCCACGAAATGCCAACAATAGGAGGCAGAAAAAATGGTTTCATCTCCTAACCTTCCCAGTGTAGACACAGCCTCAGTGTTTTGGCAGTGGAGGTCAACGTGATTTAGGGAACTGCTATAGATTAGGGTTGTAATATCATAGTTGTAAGCCAATTAACGGCTAAGCAAATAAGTACAGGTTAATGCTATAGAATACATGTTTCCTCCCCTACACACACTTCCCAATAAATTTTTTAGCAGGCTGACCAGCAGTCCCTCTCAGTCCTGGCATGAAACAGATCTGGGACCTACCGCTGCTGCAGCTCTGCATTTAAAGTATATTAGGAGGCAGGCAGCCCAGCTCAGTTCTGGTTCGCACCAGGTCCGGGAGCTTAGACCCACCCTAGACAGGGGCTGCTGCCACCTCAGGCTGCTGCCTCTTTATCAGAGGCAGCAGCACAGGGTGACAGGCAACCGGTCCATGAGGGGAGGTGGTTTTTAAATTGGCTCCCCGCGGACCAACTCCCATCTGGCACCCTGCACTGCTGCCTCTGCTAAAGAGAGAAATGTGGCGTGGCAGGGTGCTCCTCCGGAGTGGGGCTGGAGCACACTGGCTGCTGGCCCCGTCCCCAGGGACTATAGAAGAGTCAATTACGGGATAAGAATTCTTGAGGTTACTCAGCTATTCGATGAAGTGATATTTAACATCCCTACTCTAGATACTCTTCCATCTGAGGGCCTGGAGAAGAATCTCTGGCTTTTTCCTTCTGTAAGCAAGTTTCTAGCGCTCATATTTTGGGGGGGGGCTTAAAAATGGGACTCACCTGCTTAAAAACGGGAGCTAAATAAAAGGCTCCTATGTGCGAAGCGGTCCGGATGTGAGGGAAGGGGGGGGG